CACAACATTATTTTCTAGGCCTTAGTAACTATGTAGTAATATATGCATGGACATGTTTTAACCTGCGATAACCCACCTTTCCATTGTTAATGACTGACAACTGTATGTTTTGTCCACTGTGATACATGTAGTGCTGCATTTGGATAATCTATGTGAGTAGTGGGCAAATTGGTGTGCTACTGTATCTTGTCTTATACTTTAATTTGCTTGATATGTCATTTGTCCGTGAGAGTTTATGTTTTAACATAATGTCATGTTAATAATAAGTAATGTGTCTTGGAAAACTAATCGTCATAACTGCATGCTAACATTTTATATTAATGTTGGATCAGTTTTTTGGTAAAGTAGCGACTGTTGTGAATATAAAAGACGTATGCAAGTGAATTAAAAATAATGATTTTATCATTCAAGTAGTATAAATTAAACTAGTTAAATAGCTAGTACATGTACCAGCCTATAATACAAAACAAATAACCATTTTCCATCAGCAAAACATCGCATTTGGTCTTATATCTGATATTATGTTATGGGATAGGGTTGATTCAACTTACATTGTACTACATGACACATATTGATAATGACCAGAAAATCAACATTGAAAATCCAGTTTTGCTGTCCAGAAATTGTATCCAGTGGTCTTGAAACAAAATTCTAACTTAACTGGTTGTTTTCAGGCCTCGAAATGAACGTCTATTGTCCCAGCACTGCCCCAAAAATTGTCCTGAAGTGAGGATGAACTATTGTATGACTGAAGTCAACTTTATTTTCCTTTTGTTCACTCCCAGGCGCACTATAATTGCAGGTAGACAGGAAATTCAGGGGAGAATTTTCTGGATCCAAAAGCCGGGACATGTGCTAGTGATAAACAATTATAGATTCTTAGGACTGACATTCTGATGTTGATTATTTTTCTATTGTCCCAAAAAGTGTCTTTTTTAGTTGTCCCAGCCTAAATTTTAGTGGTCAGTGGCCATCGGACCACCTCTGATTTCGAGCCCTGGTTTTGTTGGTTCCACAGGCAAGAGAGCAGCTGGCTGAGGTGGAGAAGAGATACTACAGCGTGTCTGGCAAGTCTCCCGCCCCGGGTCCCAAATCTCCCAACAACAACAACCTCAGTAGCCCCATCAGACACAGGTCCAACTCTGAGGTAAGAAGGAATCTCTTGGGCTATGGAGAGGTCTTCTGTGGAACATTGAACTGTCATTTGAGGTCCATTATAGGCTTTGAAAGCTTCTAATGCAATTTCAGGGCAGCAAAAGAAAACGAAATTTCTGGTGAAAATTTTAGCTGCCATTTCTTAGCACATTTTTGTCATCATTCGTACTAGCAAAGTTGAAGTGTTTGAAATAGCCCAAAACAGGGGACGTGAGGCATCTCTTTATTTGTTTGGGTGTCGCACATAAATAGCTACAAACTACAAAACAGCATACGATATGAAACATTAGCCACCGTTTTCGGTCAGCGACATCGCATTTTTGCCTGACAGATATCAGTAAGTATGTTATGAGATAGGGTTGATTCAACTTACTATATAACGGAAAGAGAATGACCAGAAAATTGACTTTTCCGCCCTGAAATTGCATTGGATGTCTTAGTAAATTGTTTGAACACTAAAGTATTGCCTTTGTATGTTGGTATGCTGTGATACATGATTGTTGAGCAGTTTGGGCATATTCTGTGCGGTAATCATTTTATCAACAGTGCCTGTTGTTGACTAAGGGCTTGACAGGCCTTGTTTTTGTTATGAAAATTACTGTAAATTAACTTACTATTTCGGTGGTTTTATTTTATGGTAGGTCAGGGAAAAGGACTTTTGAAACAATTATGTAGTACTAGAGTAAAGGGAACCTACAATGTATTTGCGATGTCATGGATTTGGCAGACGAAGGGTCACCACGAAATAAAACCACCGCAAAAGTTTCCGGATTTACCGTATTTATCCTCTTTTAGTCTGACATGTACAATGTACATGTAGCTGTGAATGTTGCAAGTTTATTACGGTGTTGCTCTTCCGTGGCTTGAAGTCTGTCAATTGATCACTAATGTGGAAAGTACTGCAATGCCAAGTGGCTGACCGTAACAGTTGCCGGCATGCTACGCGTGGCGTCTGCATCCCCCAAATAACACCGAAGGAGAACTGCGTGCATAGATAAACCAAGAACGATCGCTCATTCTGACTTGTGCGAGTGTCTGCCCATAGACAGGACAGAGATAGTGCTGTGTACCAATTCGCTGGACCAGTTCCGGACTAAAAATATCAATAGGTTCAAGTCCAAAAAAAAAAGTAAAGAACCGATTCCGGACTTATCACCAAAAAAAAAACATGTCACTAACCCCATTTCTTTCCAAACCAACTAAAACCTTCCAAAAGATTGCAAAATCTGTGCTGCAAAAATAAGAAAACATTGCCATCGGCCATCGTCAAGTGTCAAGTTTTGCCCAGACAACATTGCAAGGTTGCCAACATGCAATTTTGTATATACCATGGGTTTAGGTCTGGACTTACGAGTCCGGAACTGAACCTAAACCTCTGGACTTGAATCCGGACCTGAACCTAAATGTGGGTTTAGGTACACAGCACTAGACAGAGATAAGTAACCATACACACTTTAAAATGAGATGGAAAAAAATTTAACAGGACTGACAAATAAAAACACCCAGCGGTGTTAGAATATACAAATGCCCGTTGCCATAGTGATACCATAGCAACAGCTTGATAATTCCTGCTATTACAAAATTCTAACGCGTGATCCCATCCCTGCATTGTTTAATAGGACCTTAAGATTGAATCTCTAGCATTTGTGTGGCCTCAAGTGTGAAAAGCGTTTGCCCTTTTCCTCCTTTAATACTAGTGATGCATACCGGTTCACTGGACTTGGATCCGGACTTGTAAGAATGTTTAGGTTCAAGTCCAAAAAAACCTAAAAGTCAAGAACCGAGTCCGGACTTATTATCATAAAAGACCATTTCACATACCCCTTTTCACATAAACCTTCCTTAGAATGCAAAATCTTTGCTTCAAAATGAAGAAAACATTGACATCGGGCATCGTCAAGTGTCAGCCTCCATGTTATGTGGGAAAAGTTTCACCCAGACAACATTGCAAGGTTGCCAACATGCAATTATGTATATTCCATGGGTTTAGGTCGAGACTTACAAGTCCGGAACTGAACCTAAACCTCTGGACTTGAATCCGGACCTGAACCTAAAATTTTGTTAAGGTATGCAGCACTATTTACCGACCCCTCCCCCCTACTACTGACATTGGCGAGCTGCGAGGGTGTTGCTATGAAATCACTATGGTTACCCCGTGCGTAGCCAAGGAGCAGGCTGGCTAGAATGCGAGAGCATTACCGGAGACTGAGGGAGCAGCGAGTTTACGTAGAGGGTTCCTCCTCCACCCAGCACTCGCCCAGACTGGCTCGAGTAAGTCCTCAACGACTTAAAAGTGTGCTGTTTTCCTGGTAGAAGGCACCTGCTCTACATGAAGCATGGGAGATGTTATTTTTATACATTTATATCATTTCTGCAAGAATTAAAATTGCTGTAGAATACCAGTCACTAAATGTTGAGTGATATTGTTGACAAATGATATATCCAACAAAGTATAACTCAGGCACGAAAGTGATGATACATGTACTGTTTTCCTGGTAGGAGGCACCTGCTATACATAAAGCATGGGAGATGTTATTTTTATACATTTATATCTGCAAGGATGATGATGATAATGATCATGATCTACAAGGAAGATGACGATTTAGAAAATGAAGATGACAAACCTTCAGATTGTACCATCTTATCTGTACTTAGAGACATCCAATACAAGTTCAGAGTGGGAAAACTGGATTATCAGACTCAAAAAACTCTTATCTGGTCATTCTTTTAACTAGTAGTTGACTTAATCAGCGCTCGAAATTGATTTTGGTGCATTGGTGCACCCAACCTAAAAAATTAGGTGCACAGAAAATATTTTGGGTGCACCATATAAAATTAGATAAGTATAATGTCGGCAAAAACTAATATGTTTTATTTCTAAAGAAATTACTACAGCAATAATTTTATTATTTTTCTGACACTTGGATGTTAAGAATACGCTGTATACTAAAATACATTTTAACATATGAAAACCCAAGAAAATATTTTGGTGCACCCACAGAAAAAATTGGGTGCACAGCTCCAAATTTGGGTGCACTAAGGTGCACATGCACCCAGTATTTCCAGCCCTGCTTAATCCTTTTCCATGTCATACTGATATTTGTGCAAAATTGTGGGGTATTTCAACGGCTTCAAATATAAAAATAATGATGACGAAAATGTGCTAAGAAATGGCAGTAAATGTCAATATCAGACAAATTTCTTCATCCAGAATATTTTTTGTTTCGCCACCCTGAAATTGCGTTGGATGTCTTTAAGTTTAACCTTCAGCCTGCTAAGGTAGCCTTCATGCACCAAATTTGTACTGTTTAACAGGCTCAGGCAGCAGGGAGAAGGTTTAAGTGTAAAGAAAAGGACAAGAGATGAAAATAGAATCAATATTGCACCAGGAGAATGCTGAAAACAGTTGCATGGGCAAGTTGAAAGTAGATTGAACGTATATTATAAAAGAAGTGCACAACTTGTGAAGAAGACAATTAAATCGGTATTTTTTTGGTTGAAGTGAGATAATGTGCAATGTCGATATTAACCAGACCAAAGCACAGCATCTCCAAATATTTAAAAGCTGTTTGTGTCTGTGAGCATGATGATAGATATTGGACAGTGATAGTATCCAGACCTGCTTTTGAATCTGATTACTGTGGTACAATTGATGCTGCAGTTTGTATATGGATCACTAGGGGGCAGTTATTGCAGAATCACAGGCATGCAAAGTGAACTAAAATCTCCAATCTAAGATCTTTGGTGGCCCCAGGATGGTCAATGGATACTGTCTGGGGAATGGATACTACTTGGCCAATTTGATACTGTCTTTGTGGCTACCGAAAGATTTCCTTGGAGACGAATTGAAGCATCTTAATTCTTTTAGCTATTATTTGGATTTCTACGCATTGATGGAATTAATGACCCTTGTTGTTCTTGTACATGTAAATTAAGCCTTAAGAAGTTTTATGTTTTAGTAGTACAAATGTAATTACTAACATTAGCCAATGTTGATGCAATTGAAACTAGAAAGGCCAATATTTGCTTTGGAGCAAATACAGCGATGGGTTCACCACATTTTACGACATGGCAGGGAAAGAATGAGAAACACAAGGGAAAACAATGATTTACATTGATATAACTATAATATGAAGTAAAATACAACTAAAACAACAGTTGCCAGTTGGATATAGCTATTCCCTACTTTATTGGTTAGGATTTTTAATTGCATAATGCAAACTGTTGATTTTCAAAATAAAAAAAAAACGTCCATGCCCCGCATTCCAATGCTGGAGCAGGAAAGCTTGAAATACCTACCAAAACACTTGAATACAGACATACTGTCAGTATGGAAATGCTCTGTGCAGGTGTTAATCAAGTTAAATCCCAACAGCCAATCAGCAAGAAATGCTCTGTGCAGGTGGAAATGCTCTGTGCAGGTGTTAATCAAGTTAAATCCCAACAGCCAATCAGCAAGAAGAATAGAGGAAAGCTGCATGCCTATTGGTTGATGCCCTGCATTCCATTGTGATGACTCATGCCCAAACGTGGTAAACAAGGCACACTAACACAGTAATACATTTGCTATAACACAGCCAAAAAACTCAAATAAAACCATTCTAAAAGCCTGTATCACAATAATTTAAAAAACGCCTAGGGGTATTTGCCCACTGTACCTCCATACCAAATTTCAGGACCTTGGGCCCTAAAATGAAGAAGCTGAATCCATTTAAAAAATGGCAGGAGGAGAAGGAGGAGAAGAAGAAGAAGAAGAAACATCAGAAAAAGCAATATGGTTTCACCACACCACTTCGTGGTGTGGTGAACCCATAATTACTGTAATATACCAGTCACTAAATGTTGGGTGATGTTCTTGAAAATTTCAAAATGATATATCCAACCAACTTGAACCAAGTACACATGTATAACTCAGGCATGAAAGTGGTGATACGTGTACTGTACTTAGTAATAATAATAACAGTGTATTTTAGACTGACATGTTAACAGACAGCATGGAAATGAAGATGGGATATGTTAATTAAGTTACAGTTTAAACTGATACATGTATCAGGGCTCAAAATTCATTTTGGGGAATAGGTGCACTGGTGCTCCTGACCTAGAAATATCTATAGATGAACTTATTTTAATATAAAGTAAATGATCACAAATTCTATAGCAAACTTTACAATTCTACATGTATGCTGTGAAATTTTTTTTTCTGACACTTACAATGTAAATGTCATTCAAAGAAGAATATGCTATATGCAAGTGTACCATAAAATATGTTACCCAACATGTACACAGATATACATATATATTTTGTACATGTATTTGCACCTGAGTGCACAGTGCACCCAGTATTTTGAGCTGTGTATACATGTACATGTACATGTATGTAGGACTGGTGATGGTTACCTGTACCGTACCTTGACTTGTATTTAATCTTGTGCTACTGACTCTCTAGCCAGTGTTGTGCTTGTTGTGCCAAACTAAAGTAAGGCCACACCAATTTAATTTGTTGGTTCTCGGATTTTTTTCATAAAAAATATGAAGCGACAGGGCGAAAAAAAAAAATTAAAATACAGGTCTAGGCATCCTATTATAGCCCCAAAAGGCCCCCAAATGCTATGATAGGAGCCATGAAGTCAAAACAAAAGCCTGGGTTAATATTTTAACAATGAATTTTGAACTTTTAAACAAACCACTGCATTGATAGATGGAAAATCTGTAACAACTACAAAGAAAAGGACTTTCATCAACGGTTGGGGGCATTTTTTAATTGATTCAGAACCAGAATCTTTTTTTTTTTTTTCCAAATCAGAAAAAAATGAAGAGGCGAATTCGAGAACCAACAAATTAAATTAGTGTGGCCTAGGTGATTGAAAATCACTGTATTGATTGATATGCAGGATCCCAGGTTGTAAGATTAAGAAATTATTTAGAGACAGCACACACTAACATATTGAAATTATTCTGCATGCATAAGATGCAAATTTATGGTGTACTAGGAAATGCTCCAATATGATGTCTATAGACATGTTCTTTTTGTGTTCAGTTACATGACATGTACATGAATGCTGTAGCATTACTGGTAACATGGCTGTTGATGAGATACCTGAAATTGTCAGCAGTCATTGTGAACGTTAGGCCATGTTGATTTGATTATATGAATGACATCCGCGCGCGCATGAATTTTCGGCCGTTTCAAAAAAAAAAATGTTTTCAACCATACTGCAAATCGTACAAAACAGTTGCAAAATGAGCAAAAATATACCGTAAGTTACAAAAAAACCATACCAATGTCGTAGAATGCCAAAATCGAACGAAAAAAGACGAAATTGTAAAGAAATGAACTTGAAGACTAGACTAGACTAGCCAAACCATATTCTGTCCCATTTGTTCAACCCTCATGACCACGTAGATTTCATAATGAAAACAACTCTTTTTTTGGCAAAACTTTTTTTTTATTCGCACGCGCGCATCAATTTTGGGGTTCCCGGAGGATGTCATCCATATAATCAAATCAACATGGCCTTACGCATTATTATACATGTACTTCCCAGAGGCTTGGAATCTCAGATTTCTTGTTTTTCTGCTGTTGTTATTATTTAGAAGCAGAACCAGCAGGCGCCCAATGGCTCGGCGGCGTCCCCTGCGCCTGAGGACATGCTGAGCCCCTCCCATCGTGAGATGGACACCACGCCCAAGTCCAGTAAGAGTCTTCCCAGGGACGCCTTCCGCAGACAGGTACAGGTGGACGTGCACAGGTCACAGAACGAACAAGGTAAAGTCAATATCATGAAAGTTTTATCTGTGTTGGTAGTTACATGTTTAGAGTTGAAACTTAAGATCCAACACAAAAATTTCTCTCACCTAGAGCTTTCGACCAGTCACTCTGGTCTTCCTCAGTAGACTGACCCAGTGAGACTTGTCACGTGGCTTCTTTGAAGTGTGACGTCAACACTGGGTCAAAGGTATCTGGTAGATGATGTCGGCCCCCGTCGCGGTTCAGTGAAGGGTGATGGGCCCTGATGTATATGGCCTGACCTTCACCCCTCTCAGGAAATAGTCTTGTTCGTCTAGTCGAGCTGTGTGTCGTCACCTGTTGTGGAGCACGTCGCCAGAAAGAAACACAACATAGACTCGGACAGGGTTAAAGTACTTGATCAAGATTCCGATTGGTTTGCAAGGGGTGTCCGGGAGGCAATCCAGATCCGCCGACAACGCAGTACCTTAAACAGGGACAGGGGGCGTCACTACCTGAAACCTGTATTATGACTGTCTGTTGTCACGTGATTATCCCATCAAGTCACGTGACAAGAGAACTCCAAGACGAGCTCCCCAGCACAGCTGAACTTTTGTTGTGTGTACATGTTTAAATATTTTGTCAAAAAATAGTCTTGTTCATTGTCCAAAATCCAAAGAACCCCCCAAAGAGAAGAAGTGTCACAGTGGTGGTACCACATCCCCTGCCAGGGCAAAAACAACAAAGGGCCCTGACAGGAAAAAATTTTTTGGACCAAGAAAAAGCGGTCACCATGGACAGGTGGCCTGCTTGAAGAGGTGGTCACCTTGGCAGGTTTGACTGTATTTACATGAAATGTTCGTACAGTTTGGGAGGCTATCCGGCGTCAGAAGGAGATGAACCCAGGCCAGCCTGCCCAGCCGGACGCCTGGAGCATGTCCAGTGTGGAGAGTGTGGAGACTGTTAACTCTACCAACTGTTCCATCAGCTCACCCGAGAAGGACTTGTCAGGGTAGGCTGGTCTTTTCATTACACATGTACATGTACTGCTATAAACCCTTTCTAACTTATGCTCAGTAAAGCACCCAATGCAATTTCAGGGCGGCAAAACTGGACTTTCAAAGTCAATTTTCTGGTCCTTACTTTAATTAAGGAGGTTCATTTTGAACCTCCTTGCTTTAATGTAGTAAGTTGAATCAATCCTACCTCAGGCCACACCAATTTAATTTGTTGGTTCTCGGATTCAGGTTCTGAATTAACTCAATAATGCTCATATTTTGCCCCCAACAGTCGAGGAAAGCTTCCTTTTCTTCCTAGTTGTTACAGTTTTTCCATCTATCGTTTGATTTTGAAAGTTCATAATTCATTGTAAATATTAACCCAGCCTTTTGTGTTGACTTCATGGCTCCTATCGTAGCATTTGGAGCTATAGTGGGATGCCTAGACCCTTTTTTTTTTCTCCCTGTCGCTTCATATTTTTTCGGAAAAAAACCTGAGAACCAACAAATTAAATTGGTGAGGCCTCATGGCATACTAATATCTGTGAGGCAAACATGCGATGTTGCTGAAAGAAACTGTTGCTTGTTTCATATCGTAGGCTGGTTCTGTGTACTACATGTAGTTAGTTACAAATGTGCCCCAAAATAAAGGGGCTCCCCACGTCGCTTGATTGAAGTGTGAAATGATGAGGAAAATGTGCTCAAAAATAGCAGTAACTTTCAATATCAGACAGATTTATAATTGTTTGTTTTGCCACCTTGAAATTGGATGCCTTTAATGGACATTTGCATGCTTCTGTTGATGCGCAGGTCTCCAAGATGTTTTTGTTTACATGTTTGTCCTGTTTAGTAGCGTTTGTCAATAATGAACATCTCCATCTGTGTAGGCATGACCTGGAGAAGTTGGTTGAACTGGAAGCAATGCTGGCAGAAGCTCAAGCCAAGAAGGAAAGGCTGTTAGTGGAGGTAGGTACATGTAGGAATGAATGAAATGGATGGATGGATGGATGGATGGATGGATGGATGGATGGATGGATGGATGGATGGATGGATGGATGGATGGATGGATGGATGGATGGATGGATGGTTGGATCTATGGATGGGTGGATAGATGGATGGATGGATGGATGAAATGGATGGAGGATAGATGGGTGGATAGATGGATGAAGGAATGAAGGAATGAATGCAAGTAGATGTCTCACTGATGGTGTATATCCTCATGAATGATGATAATATGCATGGTAACTTTTACAAAATTTCAGCTACTATAATACTTGTAGGCATTTGGCAGTCAAGTGTTAGCAGTCACTGAAATCAGGGCTTCAAATACTTTTCCTGCATATCTGCATTGCTGCAGGTAACATTGAAAATTACCTGCACCAAACAAATTTTACCTGCACCTCTCAGAATTTAGTAAAGTTAACACGGATCATACTAAAAATCTTTCTGACACCATTGCCATGATTTTTCTTATACCTGAACAGCTTCAATTTTACCTGCACTAACCTGCATGTGCAGGTGGTATTTTAAGCTATGGAAACGAAAGTATTGAGAATGAATGATAAAAATGCCCAACAGTCAAACATTACATACGGAGGATTTTATCAAATTTGTCCCTGCCTAACAGAAACAGAGACACAGAGCTGCCAAAGCCGCGGCGCTAGCTCTCGCCAACGGCTCCAAGTCCAAGATGAACGGCAGCAAGCTTCCCACCATCGAGCCGGCCAACCGGACGGACCCGTCGCCCATGGCAACACCAATCACCAGCCCCGTACGAGCTTCCGATCACACCCCCGCTTCCGGTACCCCCTCGAGTGTAGGGGGGGGTCTGACGCCTGACGTGGTGAGCCCCACAAGTCCGGACGTAGTTGGTTCCCCTCCGGAAGTGAAACTGAGAGACAAGTCTTCCCTGGTGTCCCCAGAGGTGAGACAGGTGAGTGCACCTCCACGTAGCATGAGGTGGATGCACGGTGCACACACACACACACAGGCCCTCCCGCTTAAGTCCTGCCAGCACTCCTGGTGGTTAACACCCTGTGCAGAACACGTCGGCAGAACATACTGCGACTGCACGAAACCAGTATTTTTCACAGTTTTTGTTAGATGTTTGGTCAGCCTCGCATCAGGATTTTGCCTGTTGCAGACAATATCTTTCCTGTCACATTTGAAAAGTACATTGTATAGACGGGTTGTCATCCCTATGCCTGCATCACATTGTAGATGACCTTCGGCTGTATTTGTCAATCACCGAAAGGTCGGCCGATTTTGAGATCGACCGAGGATTGCGCATATTTTTGGCTTGAAAATCGTCGCGGTCACATTGTGCGAGGCTCAGGTGATCGCTTGGGAATACATCTATGATAATGAAGTCCCAATGGCACGCAGACGAAGCAAGGCCAGTCTATCCACCTAAACATCAATAGTTTGGCCAATTTTTTTAAAAATCGCCGGCAATCCCAAAACTTTGCGCAATGATCGACGGAACATCGGGCATACTACAGCCATATATATCGTTTAGAGCTCGCCGACTAGTCGGCCGATCGATTTACGCGCAATGTGACGTCCCCATTAAATATTCAAATATGACCTTGAATTGTGGTTTTCACTCAGGTACAGTACATTCTGCCAACGTACTTACTCTGCTGTCTTGCCACCCTGACTACTTGTGTCACAATGATCATCGTAAAATTACTGTTAAAATGTAGGGTTCGAAAACATGATGTTTTTGCTTCTGACCGTGTTGTTATTGTCAACCATAACAGTTCATTTTAACCCTCTCCCTGCTGATTTATCTCCTTTGGCACCACGTTCGTATTGGTTCCAGGGTCAGGCAGCAGGGAGAAGGTTAATAATAAGTTGTGCACATTGTTGTATTGGGCATGTTTCACTTGTAACCACCAAATTCTCTTTCTAGAGCCGCATGCTGTGCATGTACCAGGAATGTTGACACATTCTAGATATGAGTACCACTAGGCATGCAATCTATGTCCATCCTTAACCCCTTTCCTTGCACCCTCCCTTGTGTATGCCCGAACACCTGCCCTGCTTGCAAATGTCCTTCAAATCAGTGTTCTCCCCAAAAATATACGGATTTGAAATCAGTAGGATTTGATAGAAAACAAGTATGAATGCTGCTACATTGCACAAACTCCTAGAACCCTTATAATGCTTTCTTGAATAAAGACTAGCTTTAGAAGTAGGGTGAAATGCTGGGTGAAATGTCATATACTGTACCCTCTCTGCTCTAAGTTTCTGTAGCTTTAAACAATCTGATTGCAAATTTCCAGGGCCTTCAATAACTCTTTGTTGTTTTTTTTTTGGCATTTGAAACGTAATAGTCGTGGCTTTATAAAAAAAGGTAGCATGAGCTTTAAGGTCCCTTTCAAAAGCACTCTTTTTCTTTCTGCGTAGATTCTAGGCTGGCTGTTGATCGTTGCAATCATTATTATGGTTTCTTTAGGGTGGTTACAGTGATTATTAATGGTGACTGGCTGGTATGAATTCTTGCAATGAAGCAGCCAATCATTCTGTGATCACGACTTGTTTTCAGAATGCATCAAATACTGACTCGTGATTTTCTTTTGAGGGGTGGAAATTCACTGCAATGTCTGAGTGGAAATTGATGACTTAGTATGCTAGGATTTTCTTTTACACAACCAGTAATGTTTCTCCTGCTTACGTTTCGATGTCTATCAGACACCTTCCTCAGAGCTTCTGACTGGAGTTCTGCTTCTTGCTGCTTTTTGTAGCCAATGTACATGTACACAATCATGTAGGTGGCACTTTTTTGGCGGGAATACTATTTCAAAAGTGTCTAGCAATTAAAAGCAGTAGTCAAGAAGTCAGAAGCTCTGAGGAAGGTGTCTCATGGACAAATATAAACGTGGGGTCGAACAGCAGAGTACTCGACTCGGAACCAAGAGGTCCCGGGTTTGAGTCCCGACATGCCACCGATCTTGTGCCCTCGGGAAAGGCACTTTACATGACTTTCCTCACTTACATCAAATGAGCATTGTCTGTCCTGTATTTGTTTTATGTGTGGGACACAACACCAGCCACAGCTGCCTGTGTCCCACGTGTATTGTTACAATTTCAATAAAACAAAAATCAAATCAAACGTAGACATTACTGGTTGTGTAAAAGAGATTCCCAGTATCCTATGTTCTATATACCAACCTGATGAAATTATGTTGGGTTGATGACTCGGTGTTTTATGCCTACAGAAAGTCCCTACTAAGAAGTCAGTGCGGGTTGTACAACCGGAGCCAGACAGTTCTGGCTTGCCGCCGGCCTCGGGGAGAACACTACCCATGTACTCCCGTAATGTTAGTACCCCGCCCCTGTGGTGCTTCTAACCTCCTCACACACATCTACACTATCATGTGGACCATTCATGTACAATAATACATACTATGTTACCATGGTAGACTCTATCTAGACATCGTGTTCATTTATTATACTATCATGAAAGTTCATCTGTGTTGGTAGTTACATGTTAAGAGTTAAAAAATTTTTGATCCAACACAAAAAGTTCTCACCTAGAGCTTTCAACCAGTCACTCTGGTCTTCCTCAGTAGACTGACCCAGTGTTGACATCACACTTCAAAGAAGCCACGTGACAAGCCTCACTGGGTCAGTCTACTGAGGAAGACCAGAGTGACCGGTCGAAAGAACTGTGTTTGAATTAGCCCCAAAACAAGCTACGTGACGCATCTCTTCATTTTAGGCCACAGCCCATACATTTGTACATTTGTCAAAGCTAGAACCAGCCTACATGTATGATATGGAACAAACTGTTTTCCGTCAGCAACATAGCATTTTTTGCTTCACAGATATCAGCATGCTATAGGATAGAGTTGGTCTAAGTTGAATACGACATTAAAACAATGAATAGAAAATTGACTTTTAAAAATCCTGTTTTGCCACTTAGATGCCTTTAAACTGTGAACAGGCATTTTCTTGTAATATAACCGTCATCACAGATCAGTGTATTTAACTCGGTGCATGCAAGATCGTGAAACATTTTGTATGAGAGAGAGCTCTGGAAGATTTGCTCATTCATATCATTGAAAGTCAATAGAATATAATCCTATGTTACAGAATAATATTTGTACCATCTGTATGGCTCTTGCATTGCTGTTGCATGTTTTCCCGTTGGTTCACTATGTAATCCTGCTTAAGGCCACACCAAATTAATTTGTTGGTTCTCGGATTCGCCGCTTCATTTTTTTCAGATTTGCAAAAAAAAAAAGATTCTGGTACTGAATCAACTCAAAATGCTCATATTTTGCCTCCAACAGTTGAGGAAAGTCATTTTCTTCCTAGTTCCTACAGTACAGTTTTTCCATCTATCAATGCAGTGCTTTGATTAAAAGCTCAAAATTCATTGTTCAAATATTAACCCAGCCTTTTGTGTTGACTTCATGGCTCCTGTTGTAGCATTTTGGCTATAATAGGATGCCTAGACCTGTTTTTATTTTTTTTATTTTTCTTTCGTCCTGTCGCTTCATTTCCTATGAAAAGATCCAAGAACCAACAAATTAAATTGGTGTGGCCTTAGCACTTGAAAACACAAAGGATAAGTTGCCGTCCTCTATTGTGATCTCTAAAACTTTCTTAGAACACTTGACGGACATTTCCATTCTTTAAAATAACTCTGTCCAGTGTGCCTCTATATTTGAACATAATGTAGCTGACAACACTGTATGCTTTAAATTACTAGTACATGCTAACTCACACTGTACATACATGTATTTTGTTGCTTTCGCTTCTTAGTGTTTGCTTCTCTCATCCTTATTTACACGTCTTCCTGTGCCTTTAAACAAGACTCACGTGCTTGTTTCCTGGCTTCCTTCTAGCGCAAACTGCAAACCAGGCTTCCCCTGAAAGCTCAAACCCTCCCCAGTGGATTCATGTATGACGATGATTGGGACAACTGGGTACAGTTTTATTACATAGATACGACGGCAACAGGGTGCACAAGTAGACATTGCTGCTGTTTACTTCTTAGTTACTTGAAGGAAAGCAGCAGTGTTTAGTTGAGAGCACCACGACTGCTTTGTGTTCTTGATTTCTTCCTTTTAGGCCACTCCAATTTAATTTGTTGGTTCTCAGATACGCTTCTTCATTTTTGTCTGATTTAAAAAAAAAAAATTCTTAGTTCTGAATCAAGTCAAAAATGCTCATATCTTGCCCCCAGCAGTTGAGGAAAGTCTTTTTCTTCCTATAGGTGTTACAGTTTTTCCATCAATCAATGCAGTGGTTTGATTAAAAGTTCAAACTTCATTGTTAAAATGTTAACCCAGCCTTTTGTGTTGACTTCATGGCTCCTATCGTAGC